CTCTTTTTGACGAAACGAACTATAAAAAATTTTGCCTAAGCCATTGATTTATTGATTAGCTCTAATAATTCTTAGAATAAAGCTTAAAGAAGCCATAAGTCATAAGAATCTCGCAGTAAATATCGTCTTGAAAAGGAAAAAGATAACCATAATCAAATCAATCCGGCCAATTAGTATATAAGCTTGTTTTAGCCAATCAAAGAAAGTAAAGATTTAAATCTATGCAAATACATACAAATTTGAGCTTTGTTTTTGGCTAAAAATTAGCAGTCGTCTCCAAAGATATTTAAAAGTTACCTCGAGCTACAAAATAGTTATTTTAGTTGACACTTTTCGATATATCAGCTGGATTTACGCAGAGGGTTAAGGAAGCTGGCTGGCTGGGCAAGGTGTAATTCAATCGAAAGCCGACTGACTGGTCATTTGGTGTTGGATTTCCTGCCCAGTTCTGGTCTCGGGGAGTCGAGAAATGCCAACTGATGAATTTGTTTAGCGAATGGCGGCGAATGGGGAGCAGGCAAATCCCACCAAGTGCAATTGCCAACTGTAACAGTAAGTGGACAAACAATAAACTGGCTAATTTATGGCCCGCTCATCATCCGAAGATCATCTGCCATCCGGCAACCAGTTGGGCATCAGCATCTCGGCATCTCTGCATCTGGGCATCTGCATCGGAATCGGCGTCTCCATTGGCTTGGACCTCACACAATAATAAATCCAACACCGACTCGGCGGCTCCGGCAAGTGAACGCTCGCCTCGCCTCGCACTTCCAGTGGCCGGCCGTTGATGACGACAGAAGCAGCCGCAACAGAGGCAGTGGCAGTGGCAGCGGCAGCGACGTCGACCGACTGATTTTTGATTTAAGAAGAAAAGGAGAAAAAAACAAATTACAAACTGTTCGCAGCTCTCATTTATTTGCCGCACTCCGAGGCGTTCACAACGCTCAAAAGTTAGCGCGCTCGAACTTAAAGCCCGAAGACGTCGGCAAAGCAGTGCGAGGAAATTTAGATGCGAACGCGAAGAGTGTAGATTTAAGCAACCATAAAAGTGATAGAACGTGCGCTTACCATTAGGCATAAATTAAATTCCATAATTTATGCAACTATACAAACGAGCAATCATCGGGAAAACAATCATCATCTCCGGTTGAAGGACACTTGAGCAATAAATTTACAATCAGCGAAAAACACAATTGAAGAAACTACGCAATAAACCGGCAGCTGCAGTTGCAACCATTTAAAGTGAGTGTGATTAGCATAGAGGGTCCGAGCCATAGAACGTTAATTCATTTGCATTCATTAATAAGTTTATAATTGCTGCCCGTCCGCATCGAGTTCGTTGCCTAAGTCTTTCGTCTGCATCGAGTTCGCCGCCCAAGTCTTTCGTCTTTCACCTGCCGCCTAGCGGCCAGCTGCGAGCGAGCGTGATATGATTAATCACATCCACACATCCCGCATCATCGGCAGATGAGGCCTCCTATTATGCGACTGTCCAGGCGCCTAACGAAAACGACCTTGGCAACGATGTTGATACAAGCGGCGCGAAATATACAAAAAAAGGCCTTAGATAATTGAAGTCAGTGAGTGGACAAATTAAATGAAGTTTTCAAGTTTCTGGTTCCTGAACTGTGTGAACTGCGGCTAGCCATTAGGCCTCGCAGAGCCACCGGAGCAATTAAACTGTAATGAGCCCGAGAGTGGTGTCTCTCGGCAGAAATATGTTTCTCTGGCCTTTCGCATTTCGTTTTGTGTTCTATTATCACCCGACTAACCGATCATATATCATGCGGGGCCCGTGATCAGTCAACAAAAGCGAATTCAAACTTTCTGCAATTTATCTCAGATAAGTTTTTTGGGTCTCTTTGGGTATTTTAATTTTTATCAGAAGTTTGCAACGCAACAAGGGAATTTAGGGAATTTGTAATTGTCAGTGTAATATTAGCGTGACTGATGAAATTAATATAAATTTTAAAAGTATAGTAGAAGAACCTTACTAAAATAAAATAATATATTCTTGATGAACATCGCTAGACAAGTCGATCTAGCCAATCCTAATTAGTTTCTATGAAATTAGTGGCCTTTAACAAAAGCTGGAAATATTTTCAGTAGTTCAGTAGATTTAATTTATTTATGTGGAGTGAATTATTTAATTTATTTTTAATATTATCCTGCCATTGAACCCATTAAAGGGTATACATTCTTCGAACTTGCCTTTCTAGTGTCCATTTTGTAGGGTGTTACCAAAAAGGGGCGCCACCTGAACAAATCGCTGCAGGCAATTATTCCAGACACTGGAATTAGACAAATGTCTATATTGGCGGAAAAAGAAAAATATGCTTAAGCGATTTGCATACCACGGACAACCTGTTGAGACGGGGGGCGAGTCGCCAACGCCCCTAGTTAGTCCCGAAAATCATGTTGAGCCGCTTGTTCTGCACCGATCCTATCCGATCCGATCACAATCGATGTTGCGCCGGCTTTTTCGGATGTGTTGCCGCGGCGATCAATTTATTTTTACAGGCTCATTAATCACTGAAGCGTTGAAATCTGCGCCGCCAGATGGCGCTCGACGCGCTCATTAGCGTAATTGCTCTGCCGGCGTCGCGTCGCTGCCGGCTCGCTGTCGGCGTCGCTTTGATTAGCGTGCATTAAATGCTTTCATTTAAATCAAATCGAAACGAAAATTATCTGCGGCTTGTGTGTGTGTGCGCGCGTGCGTGTGTGTGTGTGTGTGTGAGAGAGAGGGGGAACGTGAGAAACTTTACCATGTAAAGGCGAAACATTTTGCGCTTTGATGCGCACAGACAATTTATTTGTTATTAAATTATTCGGCTTTGGCATGTGACTTGCAGAAAATGGCATTGCCCATTATTATGATTATTACGAGCAGTCGGGTTCGCCACTTCGGTTGCCACCCCATCGATCAAAGCCTTGGACAATCGTCCGTCGAGTGGGGCGTGGGTGGTGGCAGCCGTCATTCGGCTCTCGACTTTCGATGCCTCTCACCTTGACACCCTCTCACCTCACGCCATTTTTCGATTGAAAATGGTTCACATTCCAGATAAGACTTCCATTGCCATTGACTGGAATTCGAAATAATTTTAAATTCGCTACAAAATTTAACATTTTGTGTTAAGATATCCTTTTTTTTTATTAGTATATCTCGTCTCGAATGCAATTATATCTCCAAACAATAAAAAAGCAATTGTGTTTCCCATTATATTGCATTCTTCTAAAGAATGATCATTCCGGATTTCAAAGACAAAGGAGTTGTAGACTCAAAAGAGTTTATAGTAGTTATTGTTAAGCTACGTTGCTTATTGTTTATTTTAATTAAAAATCAAATCAAGCCATAAATCAACAATTTATCATTAAGAGTAATTACTTTCCAATATCATCAATAAAATTATTATTAAACCCTTGATTTGTATTCTTCCAGAATGTCTCCACTGATTCCCTTGGCATCCCTACTTATTTTGGCCAATTTGGTGGCAGCTCGTCCCTATTCATATGGCCCAAGGTCAGAGGCGCCGCCCGCCAGGCTGGGCAATCGCATTGTGGTGCAGTCCCCGTCGCTGGACAACCTGTACATGGACTATGTGGTCACGTCGAAGCCGCTGAATCTGCGCAAATACAACAAGAACGGCAGTAAGACGAAAAAAACGAAAAAGGATTCGAAAATCTATTATATCCCCGTACCCCCACTGCCCTTTCGCCATATACCCGGCATTGGTCTGGACTATCAGCCCATGAAAATCAATCCCATTCTGCCGGAAGCGGAGGCGACAACGCCGCCAACGACCACGCTGCGTCCGACGACATCAAAGCCTGACTGGGACCATCGGAGTCCCAGTAAGGTGCTGCGGGTGCAACACCACAAGGACTACTACTTCAACGGCCGCCCTCACAGGCTGCAGGTGGCTCATGCCGGTCCGAAATCCCGGCTGACGGCGTCCAACTTGAAGTCCAACTTCTACTATAACAAAAACATTATTTATTAATACATTTAGTATAGTTTAGCAAAACAAATAAAAGAAAAAAACAAAAAAACAAATAAAAGCCAACAATTACTTTGTTTTGGGTTTTGTAAGCCAATACTTATGAGTTAAGCTGCTTTGGAGAGGGGGAAATGGCCAAACCTTTCAACTGGATCGCGTTTCCTATGAGCCGAATTGACAAAACCCCGAAATTGGGTCAAAATCGAGCAAAAGAAATCGAGAGAAGGGGGCGCCAAGAGCTGAAGAGCCATTAACTTTGATGATATCTGCATGGATCATGATATAATATTTAAGCATCATTATTAGAGACGACGGCTTCCGCATCGGTAGCATCGGTAGCTCCAAATCATCTTCACGTGTGGCCCGGCCATCTTTCCAAGCCATTTAGTAAAAGTAATTACTGTCACCGTTGTCTCTCCGATGCCCCCCCGAGTTGTGCAATAAATAATAATAAATAATAAGGCCATTAAATGTGGCAGATCGAAGTGGGATCATTGGAGCTGCTGAATTTGTGGCAATTAGAAAATTGTTAAGGGGTATGCAAAATATTATATTTGGAAATGCCCAATGAAGCCGGGGAGCCAATTAGATGATGGGAAGCTTTCACCTCGTGAAAATCCAGTGCGAATGCGTGAGAAAACTAAAATACAGTCAAGCTTAGAGATCTTGGAGAAGGGAAATCATTACAAATGTGTAGGTCTAGATTAATCTAAGCTGCTCATAATAAGTAGTTGAAAATATAATATACAAATAAGTTAAGCTCTTAACTTTATTTTCCCACTTAATGCATACCTTTTGGGCTCCACTGTACTCGCACGCGAGAAATAAAGGCCAAATGGGCTCTTTGGCCTACAACCCGTTGCCACAACAGGGCGCCTAGCAGCGGCCCTCAAGTTTATTGAACAAATTCGTGGGACCCGCCCCATGGCCATCTTTTCGAGACTCCGTTGTCTCAGCAGGCGGTGCTTAGCTTCAATTTTGAATTACTTTGACTGAAAACAATTGTCCCCCCTCACTCCGCCCTTGATAAATATATTTTATGGGCCAAGATGAGCGTCGAGGAGCGACCGCCGGCATTTGTGTGCAACGTTCAACTGAATGTGGAGCCCTGCGAGCGACCTAGGCAGCCACCGGGATGTCCGACACCCATTGACTCACGCAGCACCGAGTCCGAGCAGCAGCAATCGGAGGAGTGCTGCGTGGAGGTGGAGAATGTGACGGTCAAGTTCCGGCTCTCCGAGTCAGACATTGTGGCCCAGGTGTATCCGAACTGCATGACCCTTGCAGAAGTGAAGCAAGACATTGCTCGCAAGTTTGAGGTAGAGCCTGAGATGTTGGTGCTCCTGCAGGATGGTAGCGTGCTCTGCGACAGCTTACCCATCAACTCCACTGCCTTGGATGATTTCGGGATCCATGAGTTCCAGCTGGAGCTGAACAGCAATGCTAACGCCAGTCAGACCTCGCTGCCCAAGTTGGACTTGGAAGTCTACTTCGAGTGAGTACACATTCAAACCATGCAGATAAGTTGAAACTACTGTTATCCTTATACAGCAAGCACCGCCTGGCAGACTTCATCACGGTCCACATTTCCGGAGAGGACACTCAGGATGGCCAGCCGAAGAATGTGGTGGTGGAGATCGAAAATGCGGCAATCGTCAAGCCCTTTTTGTGTGGTTACCGGGATAAGGTTAGCGGAAAGGAGTATCTGGATGCCTTCACCCAGACAGGGCCCTACTTCGATAAGATCAAGTACAGGAAGTACAAGTCCAGGGATACGCAGACATGGGAGCCCAAGGAAAAGATTCTGGTAAGTCGGGCGAGCAGTTCCTAAGTGGATTGATAATTGAAATGCACTTCTTTTCCAGAACACGGCCCACGAGCAGTCGGTACAATGCCACCTAGATGGCATCAACATCATGTATGTGTCCGCAGCCAATGATTTCACCATTGTCCCTGGAAAGTACCAGACCTTTGCCCAGAAGGAGCGGGCTGAACGGAAGCTCGAGAAGATTCTGCTCATTCAGCGCAACTGGAGACGCTGGATCCTCTGGAAATACATCCACAAGCGGGCCGCAGAGTATCGGTGGGTAATCTTTCTTAGCCAGGCTAGGGAGTGTAGCTTCCTCCGCTAATATGAAATCCCTTTCCAGTCGCCTGGTGCAGAATCGCGAGCAGGAGGACGAGCGGTACGAAAAGTGCGTGGAGCAGCGCGTGGAACGGCACCGGGTGGTCAAGCAGTTTCCCCGCAGCAAGGACGACTTCGATCTGCTCTTCGCGGAGGTGGCACGCTGGAAGAAGGCCGAGCTAAAGCGGATCACGGCCAACTATGAGGGCCCCGCCCGCATTGCCGAGGTGAATATCCTGCTGGACAAGGAGATTCAGCTGCTGAACGGTGTGGAGCGGCAGCGAAATCTAGTCTACAAGTCCATGGAGGAGTTCCGCAACGATCAGCTGCTGAAGGAGATGGGCAAGCCGATTGAGTGGATTGGCTACAAGGACTCGAAGATCCACATGGACCTCTTGAGCACACAGCGCGTGCGCTTTCTCACAGAGATCTACAAGGATATGCGTAAGCCGCGCAAGAGGGATGATCGCCTGGAATTCATTCGCCAAGTGATGGCTGTGCTCACAGAGGAGACATGTTATCCTAACTTTCCTGAGGTGGGTCCAACCATTTAATCTTGTTTAATAAGTATAAATCAGAACTGTAAAAATCGCAGCTCTTTGACTTATTCGATCGTGAAAAGAATCTGCTGCTATACGCCAAATCCAGTGATGTGGAAATTCTGCGCAAGCGCCAGAGCATTCTCTTCTTTGACCTGATCAAGTTCCAAAAGGACAAGCCCAAGAAGAGTAAGTACTAAGCCAGGGATCTCTTCCTATATTTAAGCTGTACATCCCTAGGGACGCCCTCGCGCATGTGCATCGTCTGCAAGAAGGTCAAAACGTTTGCCGAATTCGCCATTCGTACACGCCAGAGCCATGTGGACACCTGCAAGCACTGCTACTATCTTAAGGTGGGTTAGGCAGAGACCTCCTAAGTTTGTTTAATTTGTATAATGTCCACCAGCTCACGGCCACGGAGAACACTGTCTACCAGTCCATCCTGCGGTGCATTCACCGGGATGAACGCAAACGCAAGTGCGCCACTTCGTTCGCATTTGTAATGCAGCCGGACGATGTGCGTCACATCATTGACAAGATTTGGCATGGACACTCGGCCCTCAGCAAATCGGAGAATCTCAGCGAACTAAGGTAGCTTCCGAAAAAACAATACACACTCTTCCCTCGCTTAGATAGAAGTCTTCTCCGACAGATTGCCGCGTTGGATTAAGAGCGATGACTGGGCTCCCTGGAACTGCATTTGCCTGACGGAGCGGGAGACTCGGGACCACTACAAGATTGACGATATCGATAAAGTTTACGATCCAAAGTTCATACTGCACATAAGCAACCTGCACATGCTGGCCCGCAGCCTGTTCCATACTTTGGCTGCCGTGGCCATCGAATTCCAGGAGACAGGCCAGTGGTGGAAGGTGGGCATGAATAAGCAACGCTCAAGCCAGCTCGACGCCGTTTAAACCATTTAAAAATATGCTCAATCTGTCACTTAAATTACGTGTCTGCGCTTTTCTTAAATCGATCTACAGAACACACTCCAACATTTGGGTTTAGCATGTAATTCAGCGCCTAATTTTACATTTACAAAATTTAAACAATTCAAATGTTGATCAAACATTACAAGGAAAATAAGTATATTAACTACAACTGCAATTATTTGCTACTTGCAATCGCCTTGAACTTTGCCTCCAGATACTGAACGCGTTTCAATAACTTGTCACTGGTGCTAAACTCATTATATGGTACGGGTATAACATGGTAACCACTCTTCTCCAGCAGATCAAACGTCAGGTTCGTAACGCCGCTGGCGCTGCGATGCGTTCCGTGGCAAATGTCGTGGAAATCAATGACCATTAGTGCCACTCTGAAAACAGAAGCATGGAATGAGCGGGAGAACTAACGCATTTAATTTTGTAAACCAAACCTAATGGCTTTGGGATTCTCCTTATCCAGGGGCAGGGGATTTCTGTTAGCATCAAAGTGGCACAGTGCATCTGGAAAGGAGATTGCTTAGTAAACAAAAATCCATTATTCAGACGTCTTTTTCCTCACCTATGAGAAAGCCCATTTTACTGTCCACCAAGCTCTGGACATGATTGCTGGCCGGAAGCAGGCTTTTGAGAGCATCCAGCATGCCAGTGACTAGCACCTGCTTTGCCTTGGGATGGGCAATGGGCACCTGGAAGGCGGGACTGTCGGCGGCTAGCAGTGGTCCCTTGTAGTCTACGGCCAAAAGCTGGGCATAGCTGTTTAGGTTGAGTAGCCTCATCTTGGATGTTGCTGTGACGCCGGCCTTGTCCTTTTGCAACTGCTCCAGGAATTCCGCACTGATAAAGTTATTGGAAATTTCAATTTTAAAATGATTTCAGGGATTTCTTAATAAGAACAGACCTTAAAACTGAAGCCAGGTGGTTGGGTTCCACCAGTCCCAGCATTGTGAGAGACCACACAAAGTTCAGCCATTCGGATTGCTTGGTAAAGTCCTCCCGCACAATGGATTTCACCAGCTTGCTGCTCACATCTTCCAACTGGGAGCTTTTAAAGTTCAACAGGGCCGAAGTGAGGAAGTAGGCGCTGAGATCTTGTGGGCGGCAGATTTCACTGTTCTTAAGAAGCCACTGCGTCAGGGATTCCAAGATGTCTAAGGAAGGGAATTGTTAATACACTTCAGTATAAGTTTATAGATTTCAAGCTCACCCAAATCCCGGTACCGCAAAATGCCTAGGCTGGTGAGTATGGATCCCACAACAGCAGACCTTTCCACATTCTTTGGCAATGCCGCCTGCACATCCGCACACACCTTGGCGCCCAGCACCGAGTCCTGGAAGTTAAGCGTGGACATGGCGTACAGCACATCCGCCGACTGCTTCAGATCTAGTGTCTCCGCGGCACTGCTGATGTTGAAGGCCAGGGACCGCAGCAAGGGAGTGCTGCGCCGCTTACGCTGGGCCAGCGTGCTCATCACCTTGACCATCTGGGGCAGACTGATGCTGGCTATCAACTTGGCCGCCTCATCGTCGCCAGCTACTCCCAAGACCGTGTTCAGATCGTCCGTGCGGAAGCCGGAAATACGTTTCACAGCTTGACTGCTGTCGCCGGAAGCTTTGCCATTGGTGGCGGCACCATTATTCTTGGGAACAGTGCGTCCCAGCATGCGGCAAATGCGCAGGAACCTCGTGTCGTTCTCGAACTCGGATATCTTCACCCGATCGACGCTGCTCCACTCGGCCAGAATGGATACAATCCTCAGAGCATGCTTCCTAGAGAAGGCACTGTTGTTCTCGGTGATGGCAAGCAATCCATTGACCGTCTTGGCATTCACTATGCGGTCATCTATGTTACTTGAGGCGGGTGTCTTCTTCTCATCCTTAGGATTGTCGTTGCGCAGCGACTCGAACGCAGCGGCAACCATTTGACCTAGAAAAGGATTCCCAATTAGACGTTGTATATCATATGGAATACACCTACCCTTGGGCTTCTTGGCCGCCGCCTCGGATGCCGGCGTGCGTGCTTCCGGCTCGGCTGCATCCGTCGCCAGGCCGTTGGTGGCTAAAGAAAAGCCTGCCGCCCGCACATTGCTGTTGTAGGCCGCCCGGCGGTACAGGTGGCTGGCAATGCTGCCGGCGAATCGTTGCAGTCCCAACATTTTCAGTCACTCTTCAACTCACGCTGCAAGAAACCACAGAAGTTTACATAACCTTTTTGTTTACATTTTTTGCAGGTGAATTTAGGGTTCTCCAGCTATTTAAAGGGAGCGGCAAATTAGTTACTGCATAGTTATTAATATTTGCCTCAAAATTAAGCCAGTTTCATTGAGAATTTCCATTAAATTAAGCAAACTTTCCTATTGAACGTTGAGAATCCACAGATGACGGCAGCGGGCAGCTGATGCTAGTGTTGGGCAACGCCTGCGGTCAGAGCCGAACAACGGCGCTGCCCAGCACTAGCAGACAGTGCTGCCAGACTTCACGATCATGAGGGTTTCAGCGTTTTAGTGTGCCCAAAAGCCGCGAAAGCGGCTGTGGATATTTAAACAATCCTGATACGGTCCTACTGTTGGTCATCTTTTTGTTTATTTTATTACGATTTGGAATAGAGGTGGAGAAACATCGATGTTCGGGGACATCGATGTTTTCGATGTTTTTGGCGAAAAACATCGATGAAACATCGATGTTTTAAATAAAAAAAATTAACAGTTATATTAGTGTATATGAACTTTATTTTAATTTGTAATATTAAAAAAATGAAAGTCAAATTTTCAACAAAAATTCAATTTTTTTAATCACTTGTTAAATAAAAAAAAAAACAAAAAACTAATTAAAATAAAACTTCATGATATTCATGTTCCACTTCTTTGGTATATAGTTTCTTTTTCTTAGTTTGTAAATAAAAACTAAAAACAAAAACAAATTTAATATCAATGTTTCAATATATACATGGTCCAAAGAAAATAATAGTTTTTTAGGATATTGCTATCCCGAACTCTAGTATATATATTTACATATTTTTCCATGTTTGTTTTTGTTTAAGGAAGAGGAGCCGCGTGCGAAGCTCACTTATAAGTTGTGAAGCTTTACTGAAAACTCTTTCAGATTTGTGCGAAGATGCGAGAACGCAGAAGTATTTTTTAGCAAACGTTTTAAAGGAGTCGCCATCTGTAGTAATCTAAAATATAATTAATACAATAAATAAATGAAAAAACATCGATGTTGCCCCGCTAAGCATCGATGTTTCCGATGTTTCGAAAACATCGATGTCATCGATGTTCGCATCGATGTTTCTCCACCTCTAATTTGGAACAAAGATCGCCTGGCAATGAGTTCATCCGCAACAGGCACTGCATCGGCGTTCTCCAGCTCGGACACCGCGGCCCTGGAGAGGAACACGGAGACGGAGCAAGCAGTGACCTTCGATCAAATTTGGAACGAAAATCACAGGAAAGTAAGCGGCGATTGGATTCGCCAGAATGGTTACAAAAGAGTGCGTATAGTGGTGCCGCTTTGGAGTTGCAGAACTAAGATTCTACCCTTAGGTGTGCCTGCAATTCCCGGATGACTATCTGCCTCACAGCAATGCCATCAGTGTGGCCTTAACCGAGCTACTGGCATCGGAGGACGTGAAGGTCTTCATCCTGGCGGATACCACCTACGGCAGTTGTTGTGTGGATGAGATAGCAGCTGCCCATGTTGAGGCGGATAGTGTGATTCATTTTGGAAATGCCTGCCGCAGCAGGGCCACCCGCTTGCCCGTGCTTTACCTTTATCCGGAGATGCCCTTGGAAGTGAGTGCTCTTCTCGAAAAACTGCAGACTCTGCGTCTAGAGTCTAAGGAGAGAGAGGTGTGCGTCTATTTGGACATTGGCTATCAGAATCTGGAAGGGGAAGAGCTGAGAAAGCAACTTGAAGAGGCCCTGCAACCGAAGAATCTTTTGCTGGAGCTATTTCCCCCTATTGGGGGAGAGTCCTCCACTAATGCTACCAATCTGGAGCGCATATGCATTTTCATCGGTGCTGATAACCAGCGCTTCGCTAACCTATCTCTGACTGCTCCTGCTGCCGTCCAGTGGTATGTGTACGACGGCGCCGCCGCCACCCTCAGCTCGAAGAATCCCCTTACGGCTCAGTACATCCGTCGTCGCTACTTCCACATCGAAAAGTGCAAGGATGCACAGACGCTGGGACTAATTGTGGCCACTTTGACGGCGGAGGGCTACCTGGATGTGGTGGCACGGCTTCAGACCATGGCAAAGGGCAGAGGCATTAAGACGCAGCTGATTTCCGTAGGAAGGATCAATCCGGCCAAACTGGCCAACTTCCTGGAGATCGATTGCTTCGTCTTGATTGGCTGCCCCTTTAACAACATGTACGACTCCAAGGAATACTACAAGCCCATTGTTTCCGTATTCGAAGCAGAGATGGCTCTGAATCCCGCCTGGCACATGAGGTATCCCGAAGCCTATGTCACGGACTTCAAGCAGTTGCTACCGGAGGGACGTAGCTTTCTGGCCTTTGATGTGGAAGCCATTCCCGAGAACGATGTTAGCTTGGTTAGCGGGAAACTGAGGGGAGCAGTCAACGAATCACTGGAAACCGCAGGAGATCCTGCATCCCTAGCCTTGGCCACTCAGGCCAAAATGGCGCTAATGACCACGGACACGGGACTCTCATTCGAGGACCGTACCTGGCAGGGATTAGACCCGGCTTTGGGACAGACGGAGCCCGCCCAGCTGCAGCAGGGTCTCTCCGGCATCCCCATCAAGTACACACATCAATAAACTACCAGCACTACTTGTTAACTTTTGGTATTATCGGTTTACTGATCCTCTGAAGGGCGAAATTTTCTTTTTTGAATTAAACTACATGTCCAACAACGTCGGGGATTCGGTGTGACCTCCCTCTTACACCCTCAACCAGTACATGGAGGAGCGGATTCTGTTGTAATCGGGCAGGTTCTCGACGGGACCCACGGCGGCGACGGCCGGGCAACGATCGTAGATGTACTTCATGGCCACGTCGCGGACATTGCCAACGCTGACGGCATCGATGCGCTGCTCCAGCTCGTGCAGGGGGATGCGGCGGTTGTAGCACAGGATCTGGCGACCGATGTCCTCGCAGATGGGCGTGGTGCCGTCCAACTGAAGCAGCATGTTCGTCTTCAGCAGATTCTTGGCACGCTCAACCTCGGCCTCGGTGACCATGGTGCACAGGCGCATCCATTCGCTCTGCACGTTGAAGAGCATGTCCTGGTAAAAGAGTATGAATTTCGGTAAATCATAAGCTTCAGTTTTCAGTATTGATTACTCACCTCGCACTGCAGGGGATCGCAGACAAAGTAAATGCCCCAGAGACCAGTGTCCCGGTAGCAGGTGTTGAACGACTGGAAGCTGTGGCAAAGGTCTGCCGGGAAATAATTGGAATCAAGTCCAAAAACATGAGTCATTTTCAAGTTTACTTACTATCCTCAGCGCTGGCACGGGCCAGGTTGGAGGCATTGTTGGCGCCACCACCCTGGGAGCGGTCCCAGGCACCCACCAGAGTGTTGGCCACCATCAGGGGGATATTGTCCTGGTCGGTCCAGCCGCAGCCCTCGACAGCGATGGCCACATGGGCCAGGGGCAGGGAATCGTCACGGACGCGCACTTCAGAGCCGGTGAAGCGGCAGGGAGTCACCTCTGGGGGCAGAACACTGGCTTCCAGGCCGCCCAGGCTTGAGTTAGCCAGCTTGACCAGATCGTTGTGCTTGACACCGCCGGCGGCAGCCAAAACGATGCGCGAAGCCTTGTAGTGGGTCTGAATGTAGTCGGTCAGATCGGATTTGCCAATGGACCTAAAGATAAGCAGGGTATTAATCAAAGCTAGAGAGGAATTAAGTAACTACAAATCCTTACTGAATGTTCTTGGTGGGTCCGAGGATGGTCTGACCCAGGGGGGTGCCTTGGTAGGCGGTGGCGTGCAGGTGATCGAAGACCACCTCTTGCAGGTTGCTCTCCACCTCCTGCATTTCGCGCAGGATCACCGAACGCTCGCGGGCGATCTCCGACTCGCCAAGCTTGGAGTTCTGGATGATGTCGGACAGGATCTCGACAGCCTTGGGCACATCCTTGGACAGACATTTGGCGTAGAACACAGTCTGCTCCCGAGAGGTGTAGGCATTCAAGTGGGCGCCTAGGTTCTCGACCTCCAGCTCCAGATCCGTCTGCGAGCGCTTGGCGGTGCCCTGAAAGAGGTTTAAATGAAGTATAAAAACGGATTTTTCGGGGAAATAGTTCACTCGAACCTTGAAGGCCATGTGCTCCAGGAAGTGGGCCACGCCGTTGTTCTTCTCGGTTTCGGAACGGGAGCCAGCATCGATCCAAAGTCCCACGGTGGCGGTGGAAGCGCCGGAATCCTCGCTAGCCACGCGGAGACCGTTGTCCAGCTTGGTCACCTGGGTGGCAGGTATGTTCAGCAGGGTCTTCTGCAGGGTGGCAGCAGACTTGTAGCGCTGCAAAATATGAAATATGGAAAAACTTTTAGTAAAAGTTAAGTAAACCTTACACATAACCTCAAAGTGAGTGTAAAGACTTTTCCAAACAAATTTCGAAAGATTTATGGAAATTACAGCGGTGGCTTTTGGGGGGCCAGCCAGAAGTGGTTTAATTTGTTTTATTTAAACGCACCCTAACCAGAAACACAATCATTATTGACAATTTACAATTACGTAATTTAGATCCTGTTGAGCGTAATCAATCGATTGTTTTTTGCACTTACCTTGATCATGTCAACGCCACGCACAAAGGTGCGCATATTCTGCGACACTCCAAGGACACGCAACGCCATCGTTAAGTTTTATCGTTCAATATTAATAACTAAATAAAGTATTAAGACTTTTTCGTCCGCGGCGTTGATGAAAAATCACACACACACCCACGGCAGTCACAGCACCAGAACGTTAAGTTGGCTGCAGCCGAACAGCTGTTTGCAAAATCGAAGGGTGTGCACACACTGTTTTTGGCAAGCAAACAAATTTTCCTTTTTCTATAATTTTCCGCGATTTATATCGAAAGAAGCATTTTATTGGAAAAGTAAACGGACAATTTCGACAGACATTTGTAGCCTGGCCTGTTTTCTATCAAATGGCGGGCAATTTTTGGCAGAGCTCACACTCGCAACAGTGGATTCTGGACAAACAAGATTTGCTCCGAGAGCGTCAACACGATTTGCTGGCCTTAAATGAAGACGAATACCAGAAGGTGTTCATTTTCTTTGCCAATGTCATCCAGGTGCTGGGCGAGCAGCTGAAGCTGCGGCAACAGGTCATCGCCACCGCCACGGTGTATTTCAAGAGGTTCTACGCACGGAACTCCCTGAAAAACATCGACCCCCTGCTGCTGGCGCCCACCTGCATTCTGCTGGCGTCCAAAGTGGAGGAGTTCGGCGTTATATCAAACTCCCGGCTGATCTCCATCTGCCAGTCGGCCATCAAGACCAAGTTTAGCTATGCCTATGCGCAGGAGTTTCCCTACCGCACGAACCACATCCTGGAGTGCGAGTTCTATCTGCTGGAGAACCTCGACTGCTGCCTGATCGTCTACCAGCCGTACAGACCACTGCTGCAGCTGGTCCAGGACATGGGTCAGGAGGACCAGCTGCTCACCCTCAGCTGGAGGATCGTCAACGATTCCCTGCGCACCGATGTCTGCCTGCTGTATCCACCTTACCAGGTGGGAATTTAACCTGCCAGAAACCTGAACAATTGATTGGAATCATTTTTTGTAGATCGCCATTGCCTGCCTGCAGATAGCATGCGTTATCCTGCAAAAGGACGCCACCAAACAGTGGTTCGCCGAGTTGAATGTGGATCTGGACAAGGTGCAGGAGATAGTGCGAGCCATTGTCAACCTATATGAGTTGTGGAAGGACTGGAAGGAGAAGGACGAGATACAGATGCTGCTGGCCAAGATTCCCAAGCCGAAGCCACCGCCGCAGCGATGAGATAACGCCCTAAATTTTTGTACTTCTAGATTGTAAAAAGTCTAATTAAGTTCACGACCTCATCCCACGTATTTATGTCGATTTAAAATAAGTTAAAGGCTCAAAATCTTTTTAAATTTTATTCAATTATTTTTAATTAAAATTTTATAAACCTTCAATAATCTCACAGATACTTGGCCTGTCCCCGGGAGAATTTGGTGTTCAGTATCTTGGCCTTGTCCACAATCTGTTTGGTCTGATTTTTGTCGATCTTGTTGAGCTTCAAGTCTACATCTCTGCTGAAGGGTCTTCGTTCTGGCTTCGAACCAGAGGCAGCTAGTTCCTTTTCCTTTAAAGAAAACCGATTGTAAATTAGTAATTATATACTTCTTCGTGTTTAATTGCCACCCACCTTCTCCTTCTGTTCCTTCCTTAGCTTCTTCTGGTGCAGCTCCACCAGGGACTCCTCGCGTTTGTGTTTCTTCTTATGCTTCTTGGCCATGCGCTCTTGCTCGTCATCCCTCTGCTGCTCATACTTTGCTTGGGCCATCTGCTCCATTTCCTTGGAACTACATGCTCTGGGCCCCGCAGCAGCGGCGGCCGCCTCACTTTGAGGCGTCTTGGTCCAGGAGGATCGATCACTGAAATCAGGCCGCTCTTTGCCCTGATAAAAGGTACGCTTCATGTTGCCCAGGGCAGCGAGGCCGCTCTTTAGTCCCACATCCGGCAGCTCCAGCATCCATTCCTCGCGGACCTCTTGGTCCGTAGAGGTACCCAATCCTCCGCCCTCCAGAGCAGCCAGTTTAAGGGCCAGAGCTCGCTCCTCCAGCTCCACTTTACTTGCGTTCGGCAGAGGGCCAAAGGTGTCTGCCAGGTCGTCATCATCTGAAGCCTCATCGGCCTTCAATGCGGATTCTGTTTCTGATGGTTTGGACTGAGCAAAATCGCTTGGTAGGATGGGTCCAATCATGGCCGTGGGTGGCGATTCCTGTTTCTCAATTGAGGGCCCCAGGATCACATCCTTCCTCAAATGAGGCGGCAGAGCTGGTCCAAAGGCATCTTCGCTACTGGAAGCTATTTCTGGAATATTGACAATGGGATTGGGAGGAGGTTGAGGATATAACAATGGCTGCTCCTCTTCGCGCTTGCTGCGTTTTTTCTCATTGTGACGATGCTTCTCCTTCTTGTGCTTCTTAGACTTCTTCTTTTTGGACTTGTCCACATCCTTGCTGTGCTTCTTGTGCTTCCTTTCCCGGTGTCTTTCGTCGCTGGATGAACTGCTGCTGTCACTATCTTCGCTGGACATGATCTGGAAGTCAGAATAAATAAGCACGTTTAAGATAAATAAATAAATATAAAAATAACCAAGCCCAAGCCGTAAAGATTTGGGATCAAACCCAGCCCCAAAAAACGGTTCCCTCAAGAAAACTCATGGCTTTGGCTTGGGCTACGGTTTCTATATTGCAATTAACAACGTTTAGACTTAAAATTATATAACAAAATGCAGCTGGAGGGGCAACTTAGTCGGTAAATGGCAGCCTGGGAACTATCCCATATAAGAATCCTAAACGGCAAAAGTTTTCTGGGCCTTTCGGTAGCTGTAGACCAGGGATTTTAGAACGCCAGCACTGGCGATGTTCTTGAGCGATTGCGTGACACTGCTGCGCCACACAATGTCGTTGACGGAGGCCTGCAGCACCTCGGGCAGCTGAGGCACCATGGAGAGATGATCCACCACCTCGGAATAGTCGCCACGACAGGCGGCATTTCGCTCGAGACGCTTCCTGAGCTCCCCGGGCAGCTGGTGCAGGTGTTGAACCGTAGCTGCCTGAGATTTATCCTGCTCAAAGAGTATGGCTGGCTTCCGACTTCCTGGCTCCTGACCATTCATGTTGACGGCCACGAAATTGGAGAGTTGTCCCAAAGAAGGTTGGTACAAGGCAAAGAAGTCCCTGATTTGCGGATTAACTATATTGTGGACCTTTTGCTTGTTTTCGCCAAAGATCATTCGAAAATCTCCCTTGTAGCTTAGGCCAGCGATAGTGTGGAATAGCGAATAGGCGGTGAACTTTTCTGGTAGCAGCAGCAGACCGACTTGAAGTGCAGAGAGCAGATTCCTGTCCAGGGCCGCCTTTAGGGGCGGGTTATCTGCGGGATTAACCAGATCGGTGACCGGTTTGTGTAGCCTGCCGGCCAGATAGAGATGCCGCCAGTGCAGCAGGTCCTCCAGCAACTGCTCCTCCGACACCACACCATACTTGATGGTCAGTCCCAGGTCAGGCAGTGGCACCAAGGTGTTGCAGTAGACTCCGGCACCCAAACGCTCCTGATAGTTGGCCACAAAGCGTGGTCCTAAGTGTCGCAAGGCGGAATAATGTTCCGGGTGACGATGCAAGTTCTCCGCATGGAATCCCAGGGCATCACGCACACAGAAAACCAGATCCACCACGGTGCCTGGAGGCGGACGTAGAGCAGTTCCGTTGCCCACTTTTTCGTAGCCCTCCTGCTGTTTCACGCCGGAGCCATAGGCAAACATATAGCTGACACTGCCCAGTGGAAACCGTTTCACTGTGCGCCTGTATAGGTCCAGCATCGTGTTTGTATCTTTCTAAAACGGACTTAATTTATGTTTAATAATTACTTTTTACTCCGTTTGTTTCTTCTGGAGTAGCTTCTTCTTCTTCTTATTGCTGGCGCTGGCTGCCGGCGCAGCTGGTGTGGACACACTGGCGATCAGCTGCTTGTAATATCTCAATATAATTGTTTTAAGCTTCTGGTCGTTAGATTATAATATTAAGTAATTGTATTTCCTCATTTAACATGGTACCAACATATCCCCTTTAATAATAACATATTTAATTTAATTTAATTAAAACTGCGCGCATTTTGAATACGGCCAGACAGTGTTGCAAAGTGTCTTTCGTTATAAATAATAGCCAGTGATAGCATATGTGCTGTATTTATAATCAAACCGGGTCGGAGCAGGCTCTATTTGTCTGTGCACACTACAAGATCACCATCATGATAAGTTGGACTACAAATTTGAAAAGTCGAAACGAGCTTGTTTTTTTTTTTTGTTATGCGGCCAGCGCCAAACAGTAGTGCTCTATAGTGTTCAAATTTCGCCGGCGGCAGTGTTGACAATCTCCAAATTCTAGCTGTTGTTATTCCATTCTCAAAAGAAGAAGAGAAAACACGCACATTTTCCACAATCCGATAAACGAAAAAAAATTATTAAAAGGAAAAAAGCACACAAAACATACATAAAAAATAAAAAAAATGCCGCGTCCGCCGAAAAGAAATAACACAGAGAATGAGGCGGAGACAGCTAAGCAGGAGCAGCCGCGGGACCACTCGGAGGACGTTGCGGATTTCACAAACGTGGGTTCCAGTTCCTATCGCCATCCGTTCATCCTCACTGATTTTCAATTGACTTTCGCAGCAAGCCTTCAAGAATGTGGTGGCCGCCACCCGGGCAGCGAATGCCTTTCCCCAGGGCACCGCTCGCTCTCTGTATCTCAGCTATCCGGGCTTCGCACGTGTCATGGACAACCTGTCGCAGCGCGTGGTGGGATTGATCGGCAACGTACTGCATGCCAAGGAGGTCAAGGGCGACATCAGCAAGTAAGAACACGCGAATTACAAAGGAGTGCACATTTCATTCCGAAATCCTCTCCCTTACAGACGCCAACTGGATGAGCAGTTTGAGCTGGTGCAGGAGTGCAATGACATGCTTCTTGAGCGCATTAACACAAACCTGGACATTAAGAGCGGCCTGCGCAGGAACCCCCAGCAAGTGGTTGAGGCTCAGGTGGATGTCATGAGCAGCAACTCCTCGTCAGCAGAGCAATCTACAGGTAGCTCTTCTCAAGCCCCGGAGACACCGAAGGCGGGTAGCTGGAATAGAACGACACCACAGCGAAGCATGGTTTCCGCACGCCTTTTCACGGCCAAAAATATTGTGCGCCCACAGATGCAGTTTAAGGAACCAGTGGACAACAGTGCACAGAATCCCTTTTGCCCACGGCTCAAGGAGAAGCCCAACTCGCTGAAACCGCTGGCTCTGTTGGCCGAATACGACGAAATCGGCAATATCCAGTCCTATCTGCACCCGTACGAGTTCGAGCTGCTGAAATTTGAACCCCCGGTGGATCAGCTGCAAAAGCAGAAGCCACTATTGCCATCCCTGATGGCCGACACCGAGCTGATGCTGGTGGACACGGTGGATAAGTTAAAAACGGCATTGGAGGAGCTGAGGCAGGCCCCGCAGATTGCGATCGATGTGGAGCACCACTCGTACCGCACGTTCATGGGCATCACTTGCCTTGTCCAAATGTCCACACGCTCCAAGGATTATATTTTTGATACTCTTACACTGCGTGATGAGATGCACATACTGAATCTGGTGCTGACAGATCCCAAGAAGCTAAAGATCCTGCACGGCGCCGACTTGGATATTGAGTGGCTGCAGCGTGACCTGTCCTTGTATATTGTCAACATGTTTGACACGCACCGGGCAGCCAAAGCCCTGAATATGGCCAGGTTGTCGTTGGCCTTTCTGTTGAAACACTATCTGGATCTGGACGTGGACAAGAGCCTGCAGCTGGCCGATTGGCGGATGCGACCGCTGCCGCAGCAGCTGGTCGACTATGCCCGCCAGGACACCCACTTCCTTATTTACGTTTACGAACGGATGACCAACGATCTTCTGCAGCAGCAGACTGAGCCGGGTCTGCTAAATACTGTATATCAAATGAGCACGGATGTGTGCAAGAAGCGCTACAGCAAGCCCCATATCGGTCCGGAATCTCACCTGGACTTGGTGCGAAAGACGAAGCGTTCATTTGATAATCGACAGCTTTACGCTCTTCGCGGGATCTTTGAGTGGCGAGATGCGACGGCGCGGTCCGAGGACGAGAGCTATGGCTATGTCTTGCCCAATCACATGATGCTCCAGATCGCGGAGAGCTTACCGCGCGAGATGCAGGGCATCCTGGCCTGCTGCAATCCCATTCCGCCGCTGGTGCGGCAGCAGCTGCACGCGCTCCATCAGATCGTTCTGAAGGCACGCGAACAGCCGCTGATTAAAGTGAGTTACCAAGCGATTTCAAGCAGCACCTGGAACATGTCGTTTAACGCCACAGGCTATTCCAAAAATTTTCCATTATCCATTAATTGTAATTAATTTTGAAATGAAGAGGCATTACCTCCGACATTATCGATGATTCAGTTTATTATACATCCTTCCGCAGGAAGACTAACAAAAGAAATCTAAAAAGCAGGCCAAATGTATCAGGGCAGAGCTTCTTATTTAGGTAATTAGGACACAGCGGCTTAACTTGTGTGTTTATTGCTTCTAGAGGTCCATTTATATACTCAATAGAAGACTAAGTCAGAATTTTCGATGAAATGAGGTTTCAATATATCAATATCCATCTTTTAGGGTCGTGGTGTAGTCTTTATAGTCTGTTAACCACTCTGTATACTTACTATTTCAGCCTACTTTGGAGGCCCGCAGCAGCACACAGGCATCTTTGCCGCCCTCGACCAAAGATTTCAGCAGCAAACTCTACTGTCCACACGACTTTTCGCATCAGGAGGAGGCTCGTGACGACCTACCAACGCTGTTGAAGCGCAGCGCTACGGGGAAACTTCAGCTGCACCGACAAAAGAGTATCAAAGAGAATCTATTGAAACCACCGGCAATGGCTCTGTTCGACAAGCCACCCAAACCCACCCAAGAGGAGGAACTTCGTTGGGCCCATCTGCGTAAGGAGAGCCAGATGCTACGCATGCCCTACAAGCGTTACTTGGCCATCCTGCCATTAATGGAGCAGCTAAAGGCCGATCAGATGGCCCGGGAGCGTAGTGAACAGCTCAATAGGCGTCTTTGTCCGGCAGAACCAGCGGCTGCGCAAAATATCAAGCTAGAAGCGACACCTGCCTCCAAAGCAGATGAGGAGGATGCCATTTACTCCTTGCCCCTCAAGGAGCAACTGAAGCGAAAGCACCAAACAAGTCGAAAACCAGACTCAACGGATCAGCAGCCAACCACCAGCAAGAGAGCACGAAAGGATGAGAATACGCATCCCATCAAACCAGAACCTGCTGCTTCAATTCCCGTCGATAGCGATGACGAGGTCGTGGAGACGCCCATTGAAAGGCAACCCACGGAGCAGCCACAAGCGCCGTCTAGAAAAGATATTCGAAAACAGAAGCGCAGGCAAATTCAGCGAAAGAATCGATCATTTCATCCTCAAAGCTCCAGCCAGCAGGTGCCGCAGCCCAAGACTAAGGTCGAAGGCGGCAACTTTGACTACAAGAATGTGGACTTCCGGCAGTTTAAGGGCGGAGCCCAAAGAGCCCGCGGCACAGAGATCAAGCAGCAAATGCGCGGAATGGTAAGTTTCATAATTAAGAAGGATTTGATCTTAAAAAATAGGTTACCTTCATTGTTTAATCGATTTTGTACTTATTGTTTTCAGAACCGCCCCAACAATCGCAATAATAAGCAGTTTAACAAGCTTTTTACATTTAGCAATGTAAAGACGGAGGGCAAGAAATAAACTGTAACTGTGACTAGTTATCCATAAGGGTAATGTGAATTCAATAGTGCACTTGATTTGAAGTTTATTTTGAATTTTGTACACGTTTTTCGTTACAAAAATATATTCTTAAATTTGGAAAATATCTATAATATACCTATTTAATAACAACGATATCTACAAGTAGGCTATCGGATATGTTTTTGGGGTTCGGTTTACATTTCAATTGAGCTTGGACTGAGATAATATCAGAAAAGAAAAATAAAGAAAAAATATAGAAAGACTTAAAAAAACTTGTTCACCTTTAGGAGATATGCGAGCATTACATACATTTCGGTTGGATAAATTTTCATATACACTCTTCCATCAAATATCGATTAATATGTTGTCATCCCTACTTAAAAACTATTTAAAAAGGGCCAATAGAATGTCTTAATTCTAAAAGGAAACATTTGAATAGGTGACAGCCATCGCAGCAATAAAAATTTACTAATATTATTGAATAAGCTTCTCTATCTAACTTTAGCTAACTTCTTAAGAAGGATGTGGAAAGTGACAACGGGAAGATCCTGAAATTCTGGCTTCCGTTTCAGCTGATATTTGGGGGAATCCTAAAGAGTTTTGAACATTTTTTCGCCTTCAATGTCCATACAGTGTTCCACAACCGCATACACAACCAAGAGCCTTCGTTCAATTCCCTTTTTATGCTTGTCCGTTATAAGAGGATACAAAGCATCCTGTTTGGACAGCCGATCAACAATTTCCGTCAGCACGCCGCCGGAAAAAACCTGAAGGCGATCCCAAGTGGACTTGCGAAGGCTGAAAAATACATTTTATAATTGCAGTTTTTAAGCTATAAAGATCCTTACAGGCAGCACTGGTAGAGGGGCGCCAGTATATCCAAATGGTCCTTGTTCGGATTACCGAAGGCCTTGCCATTGTCAATGAGCACCACGCGCTCCTCCCGCGTCTCGTAGTGATGGCGATCTCCATTCTGTATAAGATAATCGAAGATGGCCACATCTATAAGATCCAACAGGCGGATCGTCTCCATTTTGTTCTTCAGCGACCTAAAGGATTATCAAGATGCCATTTTAAGGTGAGTTCTTCTGGTTATAGAAGTCACCTACTTGCAGTAGGTCATGTCGTCCTCCCAAGGCGCCCGCTTGTCGTCTTTGTAGGTACGCTGCCACGGAGATCGCCGTTTGGCCAGCGTGCCTGGCACAATGTAGATAAGTACGCCTTCGATGTTGTGCCTCTCATCGCCGCAGACAGTCTCCTCCTCGTTGCAGTAGTGGCACTTCCCGTACAAACAATACCTCTCCCTGCCATCCTCATCCGTCTCTATGTTGATGGTGTGCTGGAGTTCCGGGTCACCGTTGGCATAGATCTCCCTCTTTAGGTTCACCACACGACCCACAACGATGGGAGTCCATCGCAGGTCGAGCACGGCGCCCAGATAGAAGGCATACACCTCCGCCGTGTGCCGATCCTTGCCGCTGTACACCACTCCCTCGATAACCTCGTCCCGCGGATACCACTGTGGCTTGAAGATCACCTTTTGCTGCTGGGACAGTCGCACCAGAAGCTTCAGCTGTGTGCCCCGCGCCAGGTTGCTTACCCGTGTAATTGGCTCGCGACGCAGCGTCTCCAAAAGCTGACCCATCGAGGAGTCGTACATGGGATACACTTCGTTCTCTTGCGGCCACTAAGAAGGACCCAAGTAATTAGGAATTCTAATACCAGAGGGGCATAGTTACAGTGTTGACTCACCCAATTGGCAATGTCCCAGAGAACGCTGGCGTTCTCGTACGGCGCTGCCTTGTAGTTCTTCAGCAGCTTGTTGCGGAACATGAAGAAGCGGGGATTACGATTGAGGTAGGCGGGCTTCAGGTGCCGCATCTTGTGCCGGATCATATTCTCCAGCGCCCGTACGCTGGCCAGATGACCCTCCTCGGCGCTCAGGTAGTACATGAAGTAGAAGTTAACGCCCAGCACCAGGCCCAGGAGGCTGGCCACGATGCCTCCTATAATTACGTTGCGCTTGTTCATCCTGTTGCAGCCTGCAGCCTGGGGCGCTATCACCTATTTTTAATATTACGTATACGCCACGGCAGCCGCAACACTGGCAAATTGCTCAATTCTAGCCCAAATGTTGTTGATACGACCGGGCCGCTGCTGCATGCTTATGTTGCTGCTATTGTTGTTGTTGCTGCTGGGATACTAGCAATTTGTTGCTCTTGCTCTTTTGCTGATGATGTTGCCCTTCCTTTTTTGCTTTATTTCGTTTTTCCTTTTTTTTTTTTTGGCAGACATCGGCCGACAACTGTTCGCATCAGTCCATTGTTGTGAAAACTAATTGTGGCTGCATCTGTAACGGTGTGCGAGTACATTAATTAAATTGTCAGTACTGTAGAGGGGCCAGAGTCCTGTTCCGGGTTCCGATTGGCTCTGATTTCTCACCTACAACATTAAGTTAATCAGATCGTAATGGTTGTTTACAACAGCTGACCCCATTAGCCGCCGCATTCTTGGCTCTTGAAGCTAGTATCTATAAATTAGTATCTGTTCCGGGTGTGGCTTTTGTCTTCCCACCTTGAGGCAGTGCAAGTATTTAGGAAAAATTCACTGATATTACGTTTTTAGATTCTCTGGAAAAGGTTGAAAACTGACTTAGAAAAGGGGTTTCACTATATGGGTTTTCTAAGCTTAATTTATGATCCTTGTCGTTGTTTCATTTATCAAGAATTGTATCTTTAAATAAGTTATAAATAATAACTCTTTTTAGACTATTCTGGTTACCACTATTTTGTTATGAAAACATATATATTAGTACATATATTAAATGCATAGGACATACCACAGCATGTCCTGTTTTCGGGAAACTGTAAGATATCCTTGGAACTCTCGACAGAGCCACGTTTCCCTCTGGTATGCAGGCGTTGAGAGTGAGCCCCTTGGGTTTTCTTGGATTTTTGGCAGCCAAAACTGCTTAATAAATCGTGTGCTTCCTCTTCTGCTGCTGCTGCTACTGCTGCTTCTTTGAATTAATTGGCCGCAGCCTCGTTTTTGGCCAACATCCACAACCACACGCACTCGAAAACGGGAAACTTCTGCGGCGGCCGAATAAAACAAAGCATTTTACTGCCGCACTTTGCTCGCCTCTCTTGTTTGGCCAATTGGCAATATAAATAGCTTTTGTTTATGTCGGTGAAAATACGCGAAAAACGTGCCCGGCGTAGAGGAAACAGAAGCGAATGAGAAAAAACCACAACAGAAGCCGAGAATCGGCGAAGTAAACAAAAAGCAGCTGATGCCAAATCAGCTGTTGACCTCCACGCAGCCATCCGGCAACGTCTGGCAACGCTGGCACCGTTACTTTGAACTTTTAACAACAAAAACCAAAAAAAATGTGTTAAAGTGAGGGCGCTTGCCATGAGCAGGTGGTGGGCGAAAGTTAATCAAAAAGCCGGCTAAAGGTCAGGACTGAAACTAAGCCAGGAGTGAGAAAGGTAAGTGCTCCTTTGGCGCAATAGCACCTTCTCACACGCACGCCTCTGTGCATCTGTTATTATTAACACATCCTTACGTGCAAGTGGCACCAGATGAGGCCAATCGTAAAAACTGCAAAAAAAATGGTTAATTTTGAACTATTTGGGGGTATTATTTGGTGATCTTTAAAAAATATGGAATTCAAATATTTCCGTCTTCTTGACGGTTATTATAATTTTAGTAACTGAAGAAGTCATTTCTAACCCCAAGAATCATATATATACTTGATCAGCAGTAACAGGCAAGTCTTTCTAGCCATTCCAGAAAAAAATTTTTTTTTCGGATATTTTTCAAAATTTTATAAGGGGTTACATCGTTATAATTCTCAAAAATTGCAAAAAATTTTATTTATTTAAAAATATACAATTAGTATACAGGTTTGTAAACCTGTAAACGAATTGAGATTAGTGAATTTTTAGCTTAGTTATGAAATATTCAAAATGTGGTCCCTTGATTCAGTTGCAAAATGGCTTCCCAAAATTAGCTTCCTTTCTAATTTAAAATAAAATATATAGTTTTCGAATTCTAGTTCTTATCTTAAGATTGGAAAAGAAATCTATTAAAATTACGTATAAGTATGATGGTCGCTTGTTTGTTCTTTAAAAAGTTTCAGATACAAAGTCCCGAGTTTTTAAAATTTAAGCTCTCCAACTTTTTTTAAAATATCTATATTCAAGTTTAACGAAAATCAAAAGCAAAACTAGGATATTTTTAGTATTTAAAAATACAAATTAAGTTGCTTGAAATAAATATTAAAAGAAATTAATGGATCATGGAAAGCTTAACGTTTAACCATCTTTTTCACGAGTGTATAGTCACTTTAGGGTTAGCTTAGTTATTTTTTCCATCGATGGAGTTAGGCTGGGAGGGTTCGCCTTGCCTTGGGGTCTCCCAAAGCAACTGAAGGCATAAACTGCGCCCACGCTACGCCCAGGATACCGGATGAAAGGGGGAAAGTAGGATAAGAAAGGGAGGAGGAGAGGAAACCCCCAGCCACATATGGCACAAAATAAACCGACAAATGATAACGGCACTCGAGCAAACAACAATAAAGGATGAAAAGCACGAAAATCGAGTAAATGAACGAAATAATGGTGTTGGGAATGTACAACAAGTAACAAAACGCACAAACCTTCGTATGTACCTTAACTCGAACCCTCTTTCCACACCCAAAAACTCGCTTTTCCTGCCTGCGGGAAATTCAAATGCCTGCAGCATCCGCCTCCGACGCCGTCGCCGCCACCACATATGTATGTTGTTGGCCTGGGAAATTCGAAGGCAGTTGGCGGAGAGAAAGTAACACCCTTGGTGTCGACGCATTACGATTACAGTTAAATGTAATCCACTTAAAAACAAATATATAAAATATTGAAAATTATCAAGCAAAATAAACCAATATGTTTAGTGTATTATTGTTGCTTTAGCTTACTATTCTTTGAGCAGTTAAATATTTTGTTCTGAGTTTTAAAAAATATTTAAGCTTTTTTTTTTTATTGCAAATTGTATATAGAATGCGAATCAAATTTTTTCAAGTGTCCTTGTACGAGTACAACCGTTCCAGAAAATGTTCGACTTACTTTGTTTTCATTGTTTTGTGGGTTTGCTCGTTTCTTTGTTTATTTGTTTGTCGCGGTGCATAACACATATTGAAGTAAGCCAATTTCTCTGAGGCTGGTTTGTGTGGGCCAAGTTAATCATAAATGAACTTGATGAACGGCTGAAGCCGTTTAAAGCCGCAGTTCTCAGACTGAAAAAATATTTTACCAATTAATTCCCTTTTAAACTGATATAGGCCTAAAGATTGGTTATTAACTATTTAAAGTTCTGTTAATATTTACATACTTGACTCTTTCTTTCTCTTTTTATACAATTAAACATTTTCAATTAGGATTCTAATTTCTGAAATAAAGCAATTGATAAAGAAAGAAACCCATATATGTACAGACAACCAAACATACATTTCCAATTAATATCAATTAGAAAAACATTCCAACACCAACGGCTTAGCCGCGTGAAATAGAACGAATGAGAAAATAAACAAAACTAAACAATTCAATTAGGGCTCAAATTGTGAAAAGCCAAAGAAAATACAGTATTTAGTAATTGGGTCAGATGCCGCTAACGAGCAACGACAATTACACAGAAGGCAACAGCCCAAAGCTGACGGCAAACACGAAGGAATCAATTTCGATCCCTGGAAGGGGCCTTCCCCCTTGACGTGTGCGCACAATAAGGAAGTCTGGAAATAACATAGTAAAGCATGCGAGAATACGAAAATAAAATGTTTTTATTGTTTAGAAAAAAGTCAAATTCAGTTAACAAAACTAGAATAATTATGAGAACCCTATTTGTGAGAATCCAAACTTGTTTCAAATTATAGCTTAAATTTTCACCAACCTATATTGTAGGAAATAAGGTAACTAATTAATATAAAAATATATAACGTATACGCCATGTTGCCTTTTAAGAAATATTTTAAAATGTTGTTTAATTTTTTTGTAAAAATGTAATATAATTGACGTACTTAGCAGATATCTTCAACAATGTTAAATACTTTTACCAAGTGTTGAACCCCTTACGACTGTTTGACAATCGTTAAATTAACACGAAATCTGCCCAAACATAATTATAATTTTTATTGCCGCTTTTCGCCGCGGGCCAAACGCGAAGCTGCAAAAAATCAATTAATTTATACACCGAGGCAGACGGCAAAGTCACATCTCGGGTGTTAATTGCTCATGTGTATCCCTGCAGTAACGCTCGAATCCTGTTTTTTGTGTGTGTGTGTGTGCCATTTTCGTTTGTCCTCTCGTCGTTGGCGGCGTTTTCCTTAATGGCTGCCGCTCTTATCTGGCCTCTCATGCGTTTTGTAATTAATTGGCAGACATTTTACTGCCGTGGACCGTTGTCATAGGTCGCTCAGCACGTGTTGGGGCGGAATGGCATAAAAGGGGGGTGGTTCGACCTAATGATTAATTACAATTTAATTTGTTTGGCATTTAGACGAGCTTTAACAGCGGAGCGGGAATTCGTGCGCCCTGAGACGCTACGATGACAAAATGTCGACAGAGCTCCTCAGAAGGAACAATTTAAATTTCAACATTTGTTTGCCAGCAAAATTTCATGTAATAAATCTGCCTGTGTCTTAAATTTATTTTCCTTGTAGCATATTTAATTGAATTTGTTCCACAATGCTGGGGGATCCATCTAATTAATTGTTTTTTGTTTTGTTCCCTTGTTCTGATTCGTTTCCATATTATTTCTGTTTGTTTTTTGTTGCGACTTTGAGCCTGTGTGCCTGGCTGCCAAAATATGCAAATTTAGGCTTATGAAAAGGCCTAATGAGTCGGCCTAGGAATTATGAAAATAAAAAGAAGAGAGCAACGATGATTTAAAAGGGGGAAAAATCAAGATCGGGTGTTTTACAGAAATCACCAGGGTCTTTAAAACTTCCTTTAAAATGTACAAATCTACACTTAATGCGACATCTTAAAAATTGAACTGCATACTTTTAAGGGTTTTAAAATGACTAGGGATTCCTGGTGCATTCTATAATTATGTGTCTTTCATATCTATTACTATGACAGACTAGCAATATACTTAATATTCCTCCAACGCTTTAGTAAATGTTAGGGTCCTTGATTTTTTCCGATTTTGTTGTGATTTCTGTCCAGCTTTAAGACAACTTTAGGTCGGACCGCCATCGTATTATTTTTTGATGTCGTTTTTCTTGTTTAGCTGGTGCAACAAAAGGACATGAAAAATGGGGTACAATTTGGGCGCCCAACATGAAATTAACTCATTCGTTGTGGCCTAGAATAACAAAAGACACTCGCATACACTCAAACATACAATCACTTACATACTCATACACATAAATACACAGAGAAAATAAAGGAAGGGAACGTTTTCACTTTTTTGATGCCACTAATTGTTATCAACTATTGCTTAATAATTATAAAAACTGAAATAATGTTATAAATATTATAAAATGCCAATTCAAAGAGCCAGGACTATGTGAAATCCATGCTGAGTATTTAGGTGGGTCAGGAAGTGAATACTCATATTAAACAGCTGAAAATCATCAATAATCACAAGTTATTTCATTTTCTAAATTATTTCCGATTGCCAAATTTATATAAAAGTAAAATAAAAATCAACATAAATCTTAATTTAGATCTCACTTAAGTGATTTTTATCAGTGTACACACATAAATAGACGGCACTGAGGTCAAGCAACGTCATTTTTCAGACGGCCAAACAAAAAAAGCGAGAAAAGAGGCGAAAAAAAAGGAAAATAACTTGGCTTCAAGTGCCGCCACACGGAGAATTCATTGTGCACGAGTGTTGGTGTGTGAGTGTGCAGTGTGTGCGAGCCAAAACACATGCTCGGCAAGGAGGAAAATATAAACAAACGCCCTCGTAAAAGCTCCCAGTTTCTTGTGGCCCCAAAACTATGCCAACGGGAGCTTTGTGCGTAAAGCTAAGGAGCAACAGTTCCCCCGCGAGAGCGGCAGCGAGCCCAGGACAGCTCGGCAACACTGGAATTACGCTTTCGCACGCTTTCACATTCTCTCTCTCTTCGTTTCTTTGTTTGCTCGCATGGGCTCTCTCCCGCTCAATGGCGGAGCAACAGTTATGATTCCTCTCTCACCCTTCAGGGTCCCCGGACAAAGTTGTTGTTGCCTTTCCTAATGCCCTGCCACCTGAACGTTGTTG